ATCAAACCGTAAAAGTGGCGCAACTAACTGGTTAACCACTTCTTAATACCAAACCATGTATGTAAGTGGCTTTGGTCCCTATAGGCAATTGCATTTGAAACAATTCCAAAGGTAATAAAAAGCAGGGATTGTCAACACTTCTCTGACATGGTGTCACTCAAACGTCACCTCATTGCCAATGATCTAATTAGTGGCTATACACTATCTGAAAGTAAAAAAAATAGCTCGGGCATTAGAATAACGATATAACTAAACCTAAAAATGTGATTAAAACTAAAAAAAAAACTGAAAACGCAAACATCATGTGAAACCTCAAGAAAAACATTTCATTTAAGCGCTCTAACGGAATTTTAAAGCATAATATGAGCTCTACATACAAAAAGAGAAAATATAGATAGGCCAACATGACAGGCGCACATTTATGTGCATGAAACGCAGAACTAGGGAATCAGTAGCAATGCTAGACAGGATAATCAGCGGCGTATTGTTTGGCGATTAAGGTAACAGTGACTATTCACTCACCTCCTTATTCAACTGCAGTACTAATTTCTCTCGAAAAATATCGAATTACCATATAGATACATATGTACATATGTATGTATTTATAAGAGCATATATCTATGTACATATGTAAATACATATAGCAGCCCAAGTTTTCAAAGTAGCGAAAGGAAGGAATGTCAACGCACTGTCATCGTTTGATGGCCCATGTCCAAAGTTTGACATTTTGCAACAACTGTCAACGCAATCGTTAACAAGACGAGCAAACCCAAATGAACATTTGCCCATACATTAATATGTATGTATGTGTGTATAAATATAATAACCACTTTCGCCGTTTTTTTTTTACTTTAAGTCATCATATTCATATTCATTCCAGTGATTTTTAAACTAAGTACAAATTAGCTTTGATGTGTTGTTGACGTTAACTTATGTACGTAGATTCTAACTTTCATTGCCCAAAAATTCGCAGTTTTCAAATTACCAACAAAATTGTGCCAGTTGACAGCTGCGGAATTCGAAATCCCTGTCTCCTCAACAATTCGCACGAAACTTGGCGTAAATTTGTAGGTATCTTCCGGATCTTGTTCATTATCAGCATCAAGTGTGAACAAGCGCTTCTAATTTTATTTAATACGCTTTAGTTACTTCAGTTTTATCCTTTACCTTCTGCATTACATGTTGAGGATAATTAATCAAAGCGGACAAAAAAGGCACTTCATTGAAGTTAAAAAATGTCAAATGCCAACACTAAACAATAAAGAGTAATTCCGCTCCCCCGCAGGTATCTTGGGAACTCGATCACGAAAAATTCTTCCTTTATAAATACTCTCTCAAATTAGGAAAGTAGAGATACATAGATGAAGCGAATGATTTATGATGATCAGACTACTACAAATACATACTAGACACTCTTGTCTATGACATGTCACATGCTTGCGATAAATTCATCCAAAACTACGTAACGAAATATAAACAATTACTCTGTGTTTCATATATTTATGTATGCAACTACAAATGCACATGTATGTATATGAAGATATATTTCGTCGCACCTCGACTATGAAAGTAACTATATCTTTGTTAATGTCTGAAGTTCTTAGCCTTTCTTGAATTTTTTGTTTTGAATTATGGTCCCTAAGGCAGTTTGTGCAGTTTGTGTTTGTACACAAACGAAAACTGCGTTGGAACAATTGCAAATCGAAAAATTCAATGTCAGCGCCTAGCTTTAAACAACATGCATAGCTAACATCTGAATGGCGAATGCAAAAAGGTTCTGTTCAGACTATTAAACGGAATGCCTTGCAAAGACCCCCGTGCAAGCAAGTAGAAAAAGTGCAATTCTCATTGCTCTCTCACCATTAATCATATTTTGTTATTTTTGTATGTAATGTATGCACACATATTTCTATACCCTTATGTATGTTTATGTATATTATTTAAGTTTGTTCTATAAGCTATTCGAAGTCACTCCGAGTTACAGCTATCTTCGATTTTCCACAATATCAAAATGGTAGTTTTTTTTATTGGAATTAGTATCTTAAACATCCTCTAAAGGTTTGTTCATTGAAATTTGAATTAAAATCATAAATAACTTATGGTGATTTCGTTTCTTCCAAAAAATATTGCCCTTCCGCGGTGCAAAATGTGTTTGATGTTACACTTAACCCTGTAAAAAAGCGTGTTTTTGCCTTCTTGTCTTTGTCTGGCCCACGCATTTCATAATATTGTCGTTTTAAACAACCATTTGAGGGCAACCATCTCCCCGGACAAAGCTTCCAAGGACAGAGAATGTGCTTTTTTTGCCTTAGAGGAGTGTGGCATTTTAAGAAACGAACACAAAATTTCTCATCCTTTGCCTTTAATTTTGAATCGAAACCGAAAATAAAAAGGGGAAATCAAAAGACGACATTTTTTGGTAGAAACGAAATCACCATTACATATCGTCACCTGAAATGCAAAAAGACGTAACAAACATCGCACTGAAATAAAAAAAGTCGTGACTAATAATTTCTGTTTTTAATTAAACGATATGGGAGTTTTAATTCGATGAAATCCATCACATTAATCAAAAAGTAAATTTTGAATTTTTTATTAGTTACAACTTTTAACCTTTTTTCCCCGGGCCCGGAGTTCTCAAGGGGGCCTCGTGCTCAGGCTCCAGAGTATATTTCATAAGATGTTGATAAATCACAAAACAAGTGAAATATTATTTAATTTCGTGCCCAGCCAGAACACTTGCTTATGGAATTTTGCCTGCGTTGGACATGACTGATATATGAGCCGTTCAGTGCACAAATTGATTAACTTATCAACAAAAACTTGGGAGATGCGATCAGCTCTGCTGGTTTGAAACATATATCATTTGTGTTAATCGGTAAACGGATTCTCCAGTCTCCAGCTCATCGAGAAGTTGGTAAAAAATTGAATAAAAGATTTTACCCCAAAAAAACATACTTACATACACACGAAGCACCTTAAATTAAATATTGTAAAAAATTATGTTGCTTTTCAGATTCAGTGACCGATTTTACATGGCAATTATATGATTTCGTTCTTGGGGCTAATATTACTGCAAACTAGTGTAATTTAGAAAAAGTCACCACCTCCAATGAATGTCATTTCTGAAAATTCCATTGATTATGTAAATACATATGTATGTAGATTCAAAGTTGTGCATGTTTGGAATTGTTGCGTTTTTGTCTGAACAAAAAATATATTTACTGCATTTGCGTTAGAAAGGACTTGACATTTTCGCGAGTTAATGAATATAAGTATGAATTTTTGAATTAATTTATGAATAGTTTTTTCATTAAATACGATAAAGCTATAAAGGGCGTAAACAAATGTGTAACAATTTATGACTAATAATAATTGAAATTTTTTTAAACTTCAGTACAACTACACCGCTACTATTGATTTCAGCAAAGAACCGAAAAAAATAAAGGGAGTTATTGCGTTTTATATGGAAATGCGCATGTTTATATGTGCACATAAACTCGTGTATGAAAGTACATACATACATAAATATATATAATTAAATCGAAAGTATGTCGATGCTAGTGGTTTTTATGTCCTACACATGTATGAATGTACATTCATACATATTTCTATTAATTGTATGTAAGCAGTGCAAACATTTTAATTCCCCCACATTTATGTGCGTAAATAGATGTGTATGTACATTAAGGTGGTCCTTAAAATACCAACAACATTGGGCACCCTTTATCCTGTTCTATGTACATACAAAGTTAAAAAAGAAATTTAAAAACTCAGCGAATTATGAATTATCAAATTTATTAGATTTCAAGTCAAAATTTTTGCAATTTAAAATATAAATATATTTTTTAAGACCCTGTTTGTTTAAAATTTTGAGATTTTCATGGATGTGTTTAATTTGGACGTAGAATAAAGATAAAGGGTGGCCCATAAAAAAGTTAGATGTTTATTCTTTTTAAGGAACACCCTAATGTACATACATACATATGCACGTATGTATACTACATCATTCCCCTGCAGAAAAAAATTGTCAATTGATAGAAAATTACCAAATTGTAGATAGATTTTTTTGCAGGATTTCTATAAAATATATAACTTGTAGTTAGCTTCAAAAACCTAACTTGAAACTAGTTGAAAAGTAATGCAGAAGTAATCGGAAATTGTTTTGTTTATAAAGTTTCTATTTAAATATCCTCATACAAATTTTACTTTGAATACACTTTCTTTCTGCAGTTCATTTTCTTATTGATATATCATGTCCAAAAGTAGTTAGTTACAGGTTAGTTGATATCCAATGCAGAGGTAACCACCCTCGACTATTTCGCGGCCATCGTCATTGAAATGTAGTTAGCTTTACTCAAAGAAAATATTCAGCCTTAGTCCCTGCCTAATCAACATTTCCCACCGGGTCACAACATACCTGCAGACATATGTACATATCGTCGTTTAAAGTGCAAAACCGCGTATCAACAAAATGCAAAACCGCGTATCAGCAAAATGCAAAACCGCGTATGTTAAGTTGTAGAAATTGTTTTCTAGAGCGTAAAAACACTCATATTTCAAAATGGTTCTCTTTTTTGTAACGCAATCGCATTTCTGGCTAGTATATTTCACGACGAATAGATAAGGATTGAGCCAAGAGCTTGTGTGAGCAAATCCAATTTTTGGCAGCCAATGTCAGTTACGTGGTTTTGCAGAATGACGATACGCGTATTATTACTCAAAACGACGATATACATATGTAACATACACATGCAAATTTTGTTCCCTGGCGCCATTCATGTGGCTTCAATAATCAGATCGAGCGCATCAGCACAGCAATGGATCGTCGACTCACTACGTGCACTCTTTGACAGTAAAAGCCTCATAAAATTGACAAAAATAGAAAAGATGATAGTCATGTACATACATAAGTATGTATGTATGCAGATACCCTGTAGCAATTTGGACCAACCCTAGGTTAGCCTTCGGATAGTCCATACTGCCAGTACTGGTCCCTCATAATTCCCCTGCCAATGGTTTCAACTATCATTTTTAACATTGGCGTGTCATTGGAAAACGACCGCTTCAACAACTCACCGTAAGATGTCCTATTGTGGTTAATTGTTCTTTATTATCTGGTTTTAGACTAGTCCATTTACATTTTAATTGTAATAGATTTTTTCGTTTGAAACGATTTCGTTGTGTACTTCACGGATGCTTTTTCGTAATTGAGAAAAACCGAAAAATAAGAATTTAAATAAAAATTATATGTTCCGCCAATGGGATTCGAGATTATGAGACGGCACAATCAATAGTAGCGACCATCTCTGCGCACCCAGCTACATCCACGCTATCTAAATGTGTTTTCAAATGTTTACTTTGAGCGATTGGTTGACACAGTGTTGTTGTTTAGAAATTTTTTTGAGCTAAACTCATTCTCGATAAAAATTTCTAAAGAACACCATTCTGTATGCATAAATCTGTGATAGTTTAATTTTTTTGCTTATCTCTATGACGGTTCATTAAAGCTTAAACAGACGGCAGCGTTGATCCGGATTAACTCGGACTGAATCCGGATCAACTGCAGTTAATTCCCTAGTTGATCCGGATCAACGCTGCTGTCTGTTTATAGTTTTACAAACTGGTCGCAAGCTAATATTTTTGATGCAAACAAATGTCCAATTCTAACCGGTCAAATTTTAATCGGTGAGGCCCTGGTGCTTTTCGGAAAATTGGCCGCCTTTTTGCTGCAGGGTACAGGCAAACATATGTTCTCATATGCATGCAAAGATACATATACTATCAACCAGGCGTACATAAGTATTTTATAATTCATTTTGCAGGAATGATAACATGTTGATACTCAAAAATGTACGTACATACGTCGTACGCATACATGTACTCACAGTAGTGCATATGTGTGTATGTATTTTGAAGAGTATTTTGATTGCTGCCCGAACGAGTTCGCAAAAAAACAAGATCTCAGCATGAGCTAAATTATTCGCTACTTAAATTTCGGGCTATGTGCAAGGTGCAGTGGCCGACCCCGTGATAAGCCCCAAAATCCTTGATCTTCACACTACGCGTATCAATGCTACTGGTTGCGATTTACCCTAATGCGGCATGCGACGGATGCGACAGATATGCTGCCAACATATGTACATATGCACAAAACGCCAACTTAAGCGTTAAATTATCTCTGACTTTCTCATACTACACACATACACACATATTTAGTTATTAAATTGCGATTTAGCAACAGAATACAAAGTTTAGAGAGAGCATTTCAAAGAAAACGAACGTAAATTAACTAGTCTGCAGATGTTTAATCAATGAAGTTTACCTCTTTAAAAACTTCGTCTTAGATTAATTTCGTGTCGCTATTATTTTCTGTTTGGCAATTGAACTTTCTTTTAGCTAATCCCTCAATTGAAATTATTCATATCTATTTTTCCTAAGAACCATTACCAATATAGAGGCAGTGTGAAAAATATGCATACCCTGACATTTTTAAGATTTTATTTATTTATATTTTGCATGCGTATTTTTTTTATGTAAGTCTCAGCAAGATACATATACATATGTAAATTTAGTATTCAACTAAACTTAAAATTGAGGTGCGAAATATTGAGCAAATTATTTTAAACTCTGAGTTGAACGTAGTATAAGCTCAGGTGGAGTAACTGACACCAACATGGAACTTCAAGTTTACCTCAACTGGGTATGCATAAAGTTGGGAACAAACGACCATGTTGTCATGAACCCGAGTTTAAAGTATTTAAGCGTAAAATTTTTGCCATATTTTATTTAGACTTTATTTCATCGAAAATTTCTTAGTGTTGCTGCAAAATTTCCAATTTCGTGCCACTGAAATGGAACTGGATGAGTGTTCGAGAGATTGCAATGTAAATGGTTAACATATTAGCGGCTTTTTAAAACCATGCAATTTGCAATTCTACTCCTCTAACGGGTTCTTCATTAAATAATTGTAAGGAATCTATTGTGGATTCGTATTCAAAGATTCAATTTTGACTTCCTTCTATTATCCTTTACGCAGAATCATTTTTCATTATTTTTCCAAGTAGGCGTAAAGAAGCGAAGTAAAGCAAACAAAGTTATAAGAAAAGAAAATAATAACGAAGGAGGTCCATGAAAATAAATGTAATGCTGCTGTCCAAGAACAGACTTCTAGCTTCACCAGTAACAGATTGCCTTCAATTTGTATGCACTTCCGTTTACGCTATTGTTGCAATAGAAGATCTGAGCCAACTGGTTGCAATTTAACTGTTTTGCTCGATAGCATTAGTGCCACTTTTGTTATTGATTATCTTTTGTATTGAGGTACCGGTTAATTGTTTATTTTGAAAAAAGGATACATATATACATTACGTACATACATAAATGCAACGTTCCTCGCCATCAAAAGGACAAGGAAGAAGAAACAAAACTGTCTAACATATAGTGAGTTCAAAGCTATGATGCAAGACCTAAAGAACAAAGTCATATAATAACTGAACTGTTCATCAATATGAGTATAATCCTGCGTTTGTCCAAGCGCCAAATGGATTGCCAAACTCCGAGCCAACTTCCTGTGTTGCTCTTAACGGGGGCACAATGCAGATTAAAAGAGTTTAATTAATTTTTATATATTTTTTTCAATCAATGCATTTCTGAATTCATTTCTTTATGTAGATATACATACTTATGTATGTAGTTGGAAAACGCTCATAAGTGCTGATCTGAGTTGGTTTGTGTGCAGAAATTTTTTCAATTCAAACCCTGAAAATACTCCTCAGATTTCCGAAAAAGAACTATAAAAAGTGCACATTCATTCCACTCTAAATATGTAAGTTGCAATGAAAGGAAATCATAGGGCAGTAAAGCGTAATTTCAAAGGTTACACAAAACTGTTTATATATCTTAAGTGTCACCTAATCGGATCAATCTGAATCTTATTTCTTTTTGTTACTAAATTAAGATAACCTAAAGACAAATGCTTCTATTTTTCTTCGCCCATCAGTTAGTCTCGTTTAGCGGTCGTTTACACGATTAAGATTCCTCTAAGTTCAGTTAGTTATAAAAATTACTGTTGTTCTTCCTTATCCTCCGCTTGCTGCAGACATTAGACGGTAGTTGATTTCAAAAATATGTAGACATCGCTCTCTGTCTCTTCTTTCTCGCAACACACTTTAAAATAAAAGCGCCCATAGCGTAGACCTGGAAAACTAGCGACAGTCGTACTGTCGACAAAGGCCGTATTTAAAGCAGTGATCGGACTCAAAAAAAAAATCTGTGTGGTAGAATCTGCAAAAAAATGTGGTAGATTTAAAAAAAATGTAAATCTCAGGTTTTAGATCAAACTTTGTACAAAAATTAAAATATTCTGCAAGGTTTCACCTAAATTGTAAACTTTTTAATTAGACTCCAAAAAATGTTTTATTTTAGTATAATAAAGTGCAAGATTGAAGTTGCTAAAAATTACATTAAGGTTTGGCACTTTTTTTCCTTGACAGTGTAAAGCAGTTTTTCCATATCAAAATATTTTTCGAACATATTTTAAGAGATTTCTGCCACCTTGCGGAGTGCTGCCAGCTTTTCTTTTTAACACATCACGATGTAGCGAACAAATGTGGCACGTTCCGCTACTTGGGATCTACTGATTTTGACAGTTCTCAAGTAAAAGTAAACAACGCCTCAGAAACTTTAGATGCACTTAAATTTGCTAACACTTTCACAAAAATCGCCGTTTTTATTTAATTTTCGCTATAATTCTTTTAATAAATCATTTATTTTGCAATTTAACACAATAAAACCATGTTTCCTGTCGAAAAATTGATTATTGAGAAAATTTACTATTTTACTGTTTATTTTATCCGCTTTGTTTACTTTTACTTGAGCAGTTTCATCGCCGCCGGGAATGCGGAAACTTTTATGTATTATACCATTCGTGTTACATTATAGTATTTAGTGTTGGACAATTTTTGCTCTTAAAATTAAGAAAATTATGTCGAGCATAAATAAGAGCGCGGTTACCCACGAACGTGTACGTAGCGTAGCGTAGAAGTACGTAGAAAGATATCAAGTGTGCTGTTGATAGAAAGAGAGAGAAGCAACGTGTACGTCACGGTCCTGCGGTGGTGAGTTTTTGTTAACACGCAGATCCCATAAGATAGATCGTGTCAGCTAACACGTTCTCCGTTTTTACGTCCGTGGGTAAATGCGCTTTAACACGTTCTCCGTTTTTACGTCCGTGGGTAACTGCGCTTTAAAACTACTCAAAAACGCGAGTATGTGGTGGATTTCTGACCTTGAGTGGTAGATGCTCAAAAAAGTGGTAGATCTACCACAATGTGGTAGAAATCCGCTGATAACTGATTTAGGGGGGGGGGG